GAAATCCTCGTCGACCGTGGCTTATTATCTAAGAATGAAAACCTAGGTTCATTATCTTCAGATGATACGCTATGGATTCTCATCCTGTGAATGGATCGGGCCCAGCCCCCCCCCCCGGCCGAATCATTATCTTTCCTAAATAATCAACCTAAGTCCCACCAGCCCTCTGGGCGTAGGTGGTCTAGAGCAGATCCTCTTCCACCCCTCCCTCTTCCCCCTTGGGGAGGGGTTTACCCCTCCCCCTACCCCCTCCCCTGGACCTGGACGGGGGGGGCCGCGGGTAGTTAGAGCGTCCAAGATGGCCCAAGACGGCTCCAAGAGCGCCTCAGAGAACCCAAGATGAGCTCCAAGATGGCTCAAGATAGCGCAAGATCGCTCACGATGGCTCCTAAGATGGTTCCAAGAAGCCCAAAGACGGCCCCAAGATAACTCCAAGTGGCCAAACAGCTCCCCAAGGAGGCCCCGAAGAGGCCAAAATCGTCCCAAAACCTAAGGAAAATCAATGATTTTTGCTTTCTCGCCTTTTCGCTTCCGATGGCCATCCGAGGCCTGGAGATGGCTCCAAGATGGCCCAAGAGGGCCCCAAGAGAGCCCCAAAAGAGCCCCAAGACGGCCCCAAGAGCGCCCAAGAGCACTCCAAGAGCGTTCCAAGAGGGGTCCAAGAGGCGATTTTAGGGGCTTCCGAGGGGGGACGCTAATTAAACCCCCCCTCTTGTTTGATCGACTCCCTCCAAGATGGCCCCAAAAGCGCCCCGAAGGCTCCCCAGAGCGCCTCAAGAGGGTCCCAAGAGGCGCCCAAGATGCCCCAAGGCGCCCAAAAAGCCCTCCAAGAGGCCCTCAAAAGACCCCCAAGAAGCTCCTTCCCCTCCTCCTCCTCCTCCTCCGATTCTTCCTCCTTCTCCGTCCTCCTCCTCCTCCTCCTCCTCCTCCTCTTCCCCCTCCTCCTCCTCCTCCTCCTCCTCCGACGACGACGACGACGACGACTCCTCTTCCATCCTCCCCCTCTCGGGGTCTGTGACAGCTTCCCCCGCCCTTTGTTATTCTGCATGCTCCCCGACTTCCCTGATCACCTCAACTCCCCTGAGCATCGTTTCTGGATGGGCTGGTGGGGATACGCGAAGCGTCAACAATTTCAGATTCCAACATTATGGACCAGGGATGATTTCAGTCCGGAACGTACTCTCAAACGGCGCCCCCCAAGCTCAATCATTATTCCAGAATAATGAACCCGGAGTCAATATGCCGGAAACATTATGAATCCGGGTTGATGATCTCCTGGAGATACCAAACCGGGGTCCATATTGCGACATGGAAAACCTGGTGGGGAACCCGGAGGGAACTCATAATTACTATCATTCTGGAATTACGACAACCGGAATCATTATTTCGGGGACATTATAAACTCTGTCAATGTTCCCGGAACATTATGAACCCAGGTTAATATGTTTTTGGGGTCGATATCCCCCGAACATTATAAACCATGGTTTATAATGTTCCGGGGAGAACATTATGAACCGCAATCAATATTCCCAGAACATTGAAACCCAGGTTCAGAATGTTCCGGGCGAGACATTATGAATCCTTGTCCATAATCCCAGAATCTTATAAACCCAGGTTCATATCTTTTTGAGGACCATCCTGGATAAATTACATCGAAGTAGGCATGTGTTTTTCGGACGTTTGCGAGTAGTGAAACGCGCTGGGTAACGCTCGCGCGTCGGGACACGGAGTCGCGAGTGAGCCCGCGTGCCGGAGGGGAGGGAGGAGGCGAGAGGGGCGGCCACGGAGCGCCGATGCACGCGCGTCGCCGTCGAGCGGAAGAAAAATCGTGCCCACTGCGTTTGTCTTTGTCTTTGATGAGCTGCCAGAACAGTGGCTCGAAGTGTGGCTTCTCCGCTCTCCCTTCCCTCCTCCTCCTCCTCCTCCTCCTCCTCCTCCTCCTCCTCCTCCTCCTACTCCTCCTCCCCCTGCTCCTCTTCCTCCTCCTCCTCCTCCTCCTCCTCCTCCTCCTCCTCCTCCCCCTCCCCCTCCCCCTCCCCCTCCTCCCCTCCTCCTCCTCCTCCTCCTCCTCCCCCCCCCTCCCCTCCCCCTCCTCCTCCTCCTCCTCCTCCTCCTCCTCCTCCTCCTCCCTCCTCCTCCTCCTCCTCCTCCTCCTCCTCCTCCTCCTCCTCCTCCTCCTCCTCCTCCTCCTCCTCCTCCTCCTCCTCCTCCTCCCCCTCCTCCTCCTCCCCCTCCTCCTCCTCCTCCTCCTCCTCCTCCTCCTGCACACGGTTTCTGCCGAGGCGCCGCTTTGGCGACGGGCTCGACGGACCGACCGACGCTGGCCTCAGGGGCAACGATAGAGGGGGATAGGCTTAGGTCGGGCCTGTCCCCCATACAGGAGATTTTGGACGAGAATCAAAAGATGCCCCAAAGGTGCCCAAACATACTTTAAAAATAATCCCCTGACTACGTTTGACTATTTTTGAAGTTTCCCCCCGTGGAGGGACAGGCCCGATTTAAGGATAGGCATGAGGGGGGGATGCATCGACCTTGAATGGCCGATGCATCGCCCATGCGTCGCCGATGCAGACCGCCCCATGTATCGTCCACACCTAGCCCAGCACGTCGCCCGGGCATCAGCGATGCACCGTCGATGCACCATCGATGAATCAACCACTCGAGGTCGATGCATCCCTCCCCCTGTGCCCTGCCTCATCTGTCCAAAACCTCTTCGTTGTATCCCAGTCCTCGACTCTGTCCCCTCGACGTGGCGATGGGCTCGTGACGTGGCCCTCGAAGGCTTTTCTCGTCCCGGCTCCTGGCAGGGGCCCCCAGAGGCCGAAATCGAAGAAAAACTGCGCATCGATATGTTATTACTTCGGAGGTCTGGGGTGGTGGAGGAGGAAGGGAGGAGGAGGAGGAGGAGGAGGAGGAGGAGGAGGTGCGTGCGCTGGTGCTCGCCGACCTGCGCTACGATGTCGGAGGTACGGTCGCGCTGCTCGACGACCACCTGCAGCACCGCGTGGCTGCGGGAGCTGGTGACGTTGGCGCAGGTGGCCTCCGTGGTGCGGTGGCGGTTCGCCTGCTGCAGGAGGGCCATGATCTCCTGGGAAGAAGAGAACACTGGAGGAGGAGGAGGAGGAGGAGGAGGAGGAGGAGGAGGAGGAGAAGCAGGAGGAGGCTGAGGAGGAGGAGGCGGAGGAGGCGGAGGAGCAGGAGGAGGAGGAAGAGGAGGCACAGCCAGAAACGCCGGAGCACCGCGCGGGTTTCCTGGATCGGCGCTGGATCCCCTCCCCTGGCGCGCGGGGCGCGCGGGGGGTGGCGTCGGAGGCGCCGCCACGGAGGTTCCGCGCCGATCCAGGAAACCCGCGCGGAGCCCAGACAGCTTACGTTTATGCAGGTGGTTCTTCTTAGATCTCCTTGGCGCTCTCGAGGCCGCCCACCTCGCTGATGCCTGGGCGGGGACAAGGTGGTTGCCGCTCGAGGCTCGAGGTGTTGCGGGCTTTTGCGCAGTTCCTGGGCCTCCGGGAGGCTCTCTCGCCGCCACGGCCGGATTCCCGCGACGTCCTGGTGAGAACACGCCCCAGGACACGTCTGGGGGGGCGATACCGAGGGAGCCGAGCAAGACAGAAGGAAGGGCGCCAGCTGCACGCCTGCACCGATCCTGGCCGGGCCCGTCCTGGGCCCTGGCCTGGCGTGTGCGACGTGAGTGGCTGGAGGTCCTTCAGGGAGCGCGCGGGGCGGCACGCCGGCGCCCCCCATGCATGTGCTGAGTCTGATGAGCGAGATGCAAGCGTAGAGGGAACCGTGCCGTTGCGGATGAGTGAGATGCAAGCGTAGAGGATGAGTGAGATGCAAGCGTAGAGTGAGATGCAAGCGTAGAGTCTGATGAGTGAGATGCAAGCGTAGAAGGCCGCCCAAATGGGGTCTGAGCGGATGGAGTCGAAGGATAGCGCCGTAGCGGCGACGTCGGGGTGGAGAAGAATCCGACTCCAGATCGCGCCGCATCACCTCGGCGATGCGGCGCGAGAATCGCATCTGCTCTGGCTTCACTTGGGCGGCCTGGGCCATACCCCTGCTGCTTACCTGTGGTGACTGACATATCGGGAGCGAAGGCGGGGTGAGGGAGATTATGATGATACTTAACAAGGCGTTAGAAGAACAAGCAACGGCATATACATCGGGGATGGACAGACCTCCCTTTAGTAAAACGTGGTTTAGTGAAAACGACCTGAGGCCCAAACCTGGCGGGCGCAAGCCTGGAAAATAACGGCCACGGCGCCCTCTCGAAAACCGAAAACGGACAATTCACTAATCGACGTGTCACTGTTGGGGGTTCTGTCCACCCCCGAATACATACACTGTCCAAAAGAACGCGCGGACCTCCGACGCGTACGCTTATGCCGCGCGCTCTGGTATTCTCGCCCTGTGCCCAATTGATATCGGGCGCGCTCAAGGAGCCCCGTGAAAGAATCAACGATGACTATGGCCAATCCCGGAGGAAACCAAGCCAACGATGTAGCTGAAGATGTGGATCAACTCCTTGCCGAAGAAAAGTGTGAAGATGTATATACATATATAAATATATAAATAAATAAATAAATAAATAAATAAATAAATAAATAAATGAATATATATATATATATATGACATATTGCCAGAAAGTGAAGCCGAAATTGTCTGGTGATCGCGCTCAAGGAGCCCCGGGATGCCTGCGACGCGCATGCCATTGACGGGATCCCCGCGCCGACCCAAGAATCCCGCGCGGACCTTCGACTGTATGTGCGCATGCCGCATGCCATCGTATGCTTCACCGATGCCCTGTCGACATTGGGTACGCTCTGGGGCCCTGGGATGCCTGCGACGCACATGCCGTTGACGGGATCCTCCCTGATGTCGAGGTAGTCGGCGTCGGGTCTCAGCAGGTCGCGGATGTTCTCGTTGTAGACCTCGAGGAACGAGCACTTGACCTCGAAGAGGCGATTCTCCTTCTGCAGCTGGGCGTCTCCGAACAGGTCCTGTGGGTAGCAAAATTGTGCTGAAATGATCGTTGTGGGGGCCTTTCTGGAGCCACTCGTTCCACTCATGCGTCAAGCTTGAATCGAACTTGATTCGAGCTAGGGTGATCTAGAGTCGAACTAGTTTTGAATAGATCGATGAGATGGGCTCCAGGATGATCCCCCGAACTAGCCCAAACAAAACAAAGGCCTGATGTTCGTCGTTATGGGCATCTGGATGCCGTTCCCTGGCCGTGCAAACGTCAAAAACAGCTCAGAGCCCCCCCCCCAAAAAAAAATCACGGCGTTGGGGATGTGGTCGAAATCCCTGGGGCCGACATCACGAACATGCTTCTTAATGTCGGAGGAGAGGGCACCGACACAGTCGCAGCATGGCCACAAGAACATGGGCCCCTTCGCCGAAGGCCCGATGCCCCATGGAGATGCGCCCAGAACGAAGGACATTACAAGGCAGAGAGCCCAGACGCGCAGAACATAAGGCTCATCAAACCCCGCCGGGACTGGGGCTGTTCGTGACCCTTGTGCCGAGACAGGTGCGGCAGCTCGCGGAATCCCTGCTGGAAATCTTCCTGGGGTAGGTTTTTGGAAGGTTTCCTCGGGCTCGGGAGGAGGGGGGGCGAGGAAGGTGTTGGAAGGCTTCTTTATCATAATCTTCCAACAACCTTTTCAATCCAAAAACCTTTCAACATTTGGCCAGACCGATCAATACATTCAGAGCACCTTCCAAAAACTTTCCAAACACCTTCCAAACAAACTTCCAACAAACCTTACAAAAACCTTCAAGGCAACCTTCCAACAATATTCCACAACCACCTTGTAAAACCCTTCAAAAACCTTTCTCTGAAGGTTTTTGGGAGAGTGTCCCCCAACAACCTTTCCAAACACCTTCCTCAGGACAATTTCGCCGTGATTTCCTCCAAAAACCTTCCTCCGGGAGTGTTGTTGGAGGGTTTCCTCCAAAAAACCTCCCAAAACCTTCCTCAGGAGGGTCTTTCCCCAAAAGGTTTCCTCCAACAATCTTCCGAACACCTTCCTCGGGTGCTGTTTCCCCACATCCAATGTGGGGTCCTTGTTTTCTTCGGACAGCCCCCGGGCAGGAGATACACCCTCTCTTCTTCTTTTTCTTCTTCTTCATCATCATCATCATCACCACCATCATCATCATCATCATCAGCATCATTATCATCACCACCATCACCACCATCAGCATCATCATCAGCATCATCATCACCACCATCATCATCATCAACAACAACCACAACAACAACACCATCATCATCATCATCATCACCATGAGTATCATCACCACCATCATCATCAACATCATCAGCATGATCACCATCATCCACCAACATCATCATCAGCAGCATCAGCATCATCAGCATCATCACCATCATCATCATCATCATACTCATCATCATCATCTGTATCTTTTTCACCACCATCATCGTGTCATCGGCCTACCATAGCAGGTAGAACACTTCAGCGCCCCAAGGGGCCTCGCTTCTGAGTGCGATGCGAGGAAGGTCTCAGGCAGGGGACGCCGTGTCTATGAGGCACACAAATCACGTTTCTAATATGAGCGGTCACCAGAACCCTGTAACCTGTAAAGACATTTCGACCACTTCCTCAATTGTGGAAACGGTCTATATCTTCGACGCATTTCTTGACGAGCTGGGGTCCCCCCAGTACTGGGAAATAAATATTTGTCCGCGGCCCACGTTTCACGAAAAACGACGACGACGATGTGAAGGAGGAGTTTGTGAACGACGCCTTCGGCGACATGTGTCGATCTATACGGCAATCCTTTCTACAAACGTGCTCAAAATTCCTGTCGCGCAAGGTCGCCCATGGAGCACTACTCCATGGGAGCAGGGACCCCCAACATGATCCAACTCGCCCAACTATAGAGGGACAGTAATATCCACTGCGACGACGACGACGACGACGACGACGACGACGACGACGACGACGACTACGACTACGAATGCGACTGCGATCGCGACTACAACCACGACTGCAATTACGGCTGCCATCACTAGTACAATCACGATTACAATCACAAGTACGACCACGATTACAATCACGGCTACAACCGCAACCATTGAATCCTAGTGAGATCCCCGTGAGGATATGCTCACAAGTCCTATTGCGCGCGGGGCATCCCACGATGGACTATTCACTGGGAGAAGGAACCCCGCAACATTACCAAACACACCCAACGATGGAAGGTAAATGTTCGCCGCCGCGACGACGACGACGACGAAAACGACCACGAGGCCCAGAAGGAGAAGCGGGAGCCGGAGCAGGATGAGGAGGACGATAAATTTTGCAGTTGGGGGCGCCGCGAAACCTGCGAGGGAAACGTCACTACATTCACGTCAGAGTGTTTTAAGTCGATGAATATGACCCAAGGACCGGCCTGCGCGAGGAAGGTCACGTAAAAAAACATGTTCATGATGCTGCGCCCACGCGGCCTGATCATGACTCGCTGAAATCCATGGAACACCTCGCTTGTAGAAGACGTTGTAATTCCCCCCCTCCATGGTCGAAAACGAACCAGATGCCCTTGCCACCCACCGTGATGGCGCGCAAACTGATAAATCGAACGCATGTTTTCCAAATTGCGGTTTCACCGACTTGCGTTCTGGTTTTCCGAAGACCTTGGCACGCAACTTTCTCAGCACAATCGCGCTGCTCTCTCCTCCGCGCCCTGGCCCGCGACCCCACGCCGCGCTGGCGCGTCGCGTCTGCAACCGTATTCTCACTCTGGCGCATATGCTCGGCCACTGACTCCTGCTCCCGCTTTAGGCTGCGAAGAACGCGCGCGCCGCGAACGCTGTCCAATAGGGGCCGATCAGCCGGCGTTCGACAGTCGGTCCACGAATATCTGCACCTCCCACCGCAACGTGTCCAGCGACGCCCCAAGAACCCAGGAATCGTCTGCGAAAGAACGAATGCCGCGAACCTCCCCGTCGATCTTGACTGCCAATCCTTTGCTGCAGCATTATTTCCGAAGCCGTTCAATCGATGTCGAAGATGATGTCGGAAATCTTTGGGGCGTCGGGCCCACGTTGGCAGCGGGGCCTGGCGCGAGAGACGTCTCCGCTTCATGCGTCGCCCGCCCTTATCCGGGATTTTAGCTTCCCCGCTCCCCGGAACAGCGGGGCTGCGGCGACCTTCCGGGGCCTTTCTGCACTGGGCGGTCGGCGCTCGGAAGGTGATTCACTGCGTCGCACGCTTCGAAGAGGCCCCCGTCGAACGCGAAAATGAGAGGCGAGACGCCTTGCCATTCAGTGCGTTTCTCCACTGGGCTCCAGATGCGTAAACGCGATGTCCAAGGCCCGCCGTTCAGGGCGAAACTCCAGCTGCACCTCGCCCAGGTTCTCCAAGTTTTCACGCGCGCGCTCTAGAAAGCGCGCTAAGTGCGCCTTCATAAGCGCGGGGGTGATCGCGATGGGCCGCAACTCTGAAGGGCGCGCGGGCACTTCCTTCGCGAGAATGCACTGTGCCGCGACGCGCTCCCAAGCCGTCTCCTCAAACTCGCCGGCATGACTAGGCAGCCGTAACTCGAGCGCGTCAGCCAACGCGTAAGATGCATCTTCGTCCAAAAGGATGACCATATCCATGATGACGTGATCTTCGGCACGTGACCGATTGGATTTGAAGCGGTGAGCGACTCTCCGCGCGAGGCCCCCACTGAACCACCGGGGGCAATCTCATTCGCCGGCGCGCCATGACTGGCGGATCCAAGGAAGCGTGGGCTCCTCGAGAGAGCGCTTGCAGATGTAGAAGCCCGCCTGTGAGATCATCGGTCAGCCGCCGCACCTCGGCGCCGCCGTCAAGTGCCGGCTCGGGCGCGCGAGGGCCGCGAAAGACGGCGCGGCGGCCTTCGCTTGACAGGCCGAACTTGGCGCGACGCCCCCGAGACCCGACGGTCGAACCGCAGTCTGGCGACGCGCCGCCCCCGATTGGCAATCCTGCTTTCGATGGGGGGCTCGAGATGCGAGGGCCGGTTCCATCGTCGCATGGCGCCGTTAGTCGCACGACTTGCCCCCTTCTTCTCGACGGCCGCAGCGCCGGGCCGGCGGCGTCGCCCGCGCGCGTCGCCGCCCGCCCGCGAAGCTGCGCCGCGGCGGAGATCACCCGCGCCACCTTCGATAGAGGGAGTCATGATCTCGAAGTCGCTCGACCGAACCCCCCCTCAAATTCGCCCGGAGGTTCGCGGATCCCTCATTCGCCCTCGGATCCCCCCACCGCGCCCCCCGACCTCGCTCGCCCCACTCCTCGAGTGGGCGCGGCCGTCGCCGCCGAGATGTCGAGTGGGCGGGGGAACTGGGGCGGCGGTCTGGGGCCCGCCGCTCGGCGGCATTTCGCGCTCTCGCCTCGGCGCCGCGCGCGCGCGACTCTCTTGTCTCGGCAACGAGCGCATTTTTGGCGGTATCCCGATTGCGATCGGGGCCTCGTCGGGGCTGCGGAGGTCGGCAGGGCCTGCGCGCGGCGCCCGCCGTCTCCGCCAGGGTCGGCGGGGCCTGCGCGCAGCGCCCGCCGTCTCCAGGGACTCCTCAATGCATATTCCCCAGCTGGGATTTCTTGATGAGGACTCCTTGGCAAACATTCCCGAGCAAGAACTCCGCAATGCAGATTCCTTTGCAAGTATTTCTTGGTGCAGATTCCTTCGTCGAGATTCCCGTATAAAGCTTCCTGGGTCACGGTTCATGGGCAAATATGTCTTCAATACTGTTTCCTCACTGAGGAGTCCTTGGTGAGGATTCCTTATCATCAACCCCTTACTACGGATTCATTAATGAGGATTCTTGGAGAAGGACTCCTACGTGCAGGTTCCTTACTAAAGATTCCTGCATACAGACTCCTTAGTACGGATTCCTCAGTGAGGAACCCTCAGTCAGGATTCCTTGGCACGGATTCCCTCACACATATTCCTTACTGAGAGATTATGCCAGGGCTCAGAAACAAAGATTCATTGATGCAAATTCTTG